GGGAAAGAGGCATGTCACTGGGAATCAGCAATTAGCAGATTCCAAGAAGAAAAAGCCATTTATTGTAAGAATTCAAACCAACTGCTCTTGTGAAATGATGGTGATAATTTAGAGCACAATTTAGGGCTGCCACGGACGTGAGAGTTGTGTTTTTTCTACAAGGATTAAAAAAAAAAAAGAAAAGAAATTAAAGCCTCCACCCAGACTCTTAGCCCTTTCTTTACCTTTTGCAAAAATAAATACATAAATTGGCAGTTAAGAAGAGGAAATAAAAACAGATGCTATTGCCCGCTGGTGGGCACCCCCTAAGGAGCCCTTTCCTTCCCCAGCTACAGAGGGTCATTAATCTGTGCCCAGCAGCCCTCTCTGTATCTCTGGGGACAGGGAGGTCCTCGAATGAGGAGAGGGATAGCAGAGATATTTTGATTTTAGGATTTTGAATATAAATATTTTCAAAGGAGGCTTATTGTGTTCCTGAAAACAGGATGTGCCGTTTCCAGCTTTTATTGCACACATTTGGTGAGTGAAATCTGCCCCTAGCCTGGGAGTGAAGAGCAAAGTGAAAGAGCAAACTCCAGTTTGCCCACTGGGCCAAGGGGCAGGATGTCTGTGATTTGGACCTCCAGATCTACTCCATACCCTCCCCCAGCTCAGTCTGCCCATAGTCTAAAATAGATGGACTGCCAAGTGGGCTCGTGTTCCTCTGGCCTCCAGTAGAGTTTGACAGCAGTCAGGGTGGGATGAGGGCACATTCAGGAGGTTAGTGGCACCCTGTTCTGTCTGGCAGCAGTGAATGCATCGTGGGAGACACTGAAGTCTCCTGCTTTCAGGCTTGGCTGGGGCTGATCATGCTGTACTTCGTAGTTTCCCTACTCTCAGGCCACAGCTATATAAATGATCTCGTTAAACTTTTTTCCAATTATTCCAGTTTGAAAGGACCAGCTGTTCGTGGCCAGATCCCAAACCAACATGAGATCTTGGGTATCTGTGAACTGGCCCCTCCAGTCTTACCGGGTTCAACGCTGAGCAAAACTGTGGGCTAGCAATGCCTATTTTCAATGTGACTTTACCCATTAACCACTTTTCCTGTTTTTCTCCAAGTCATCCCTTTGTAACCACTCCTGTAACTTCCTCCTGGCTTTGAACTTCCCAGGATCACCCCCCACCCTGTGCCACACACACTTCCTCTTAGACAGCACCTTGTATTCTCGACCTTTCCAGCGCCCCTTCTGCATCAGAACTTGCCAGTCTTACCATCTCTGTTCCCTCAGAGCTCACGCCCTCTAGCTGTCTTCTGAGTGACCAAAAATTCTGTATCCATGAATAGACAATAATATGTTTCTCAGTTACCTCTCCTTGTTTAAAACAAAAAGTTATTTTATCAGGAGCTTTCTGGAGAGACGATTCCTTCACCCAAAGGATCATGTCTAAACTGTGGTGACTTCAGACATCTTGTTTATTTGAAAAAGGTTACTACAATGGGTGGTGGCTGAAGCACAGCATGATTTTTGTTCTCAGGATGTCACTGGCTTGGTTTCTGCCTCCTCCATGTGCCTCCTGAACATGAAATCCTGGTTCCAGGATGGTTTCTTATGGTGCTGACTGATTTCCAGACTGGTACTATAGTCTCTAATGGGGCCAACCCTCAGGATTACCTGGGAAGCCTGGGAGAGCCATTACAATGCAAGGAAAAGCCCATGGGGCTTTCTCAGGAAATGTTCCTAACCTCAAATATGACCATGCTCAAACTTTTTATCTCTAGGCCGCCCGGTATACACCACAGCTTTGATCTGCTAACACTTACTCATCCTTAATTCCTAGATTAATGCTGTCTTTATCTGATGTTTATGTATTTTGTTTTACTCATCCCTCTGATACCCATTTACTGAAAGGATGTGCAATGGCAGGATTCGTTTAGCCATTTTTTATATACATTTTTATGTACATTTATATACATTTACATGTACTCTGTTCAAAACTACTTTTAAAAAATACATTTTAACATCAGGCAATGACATTTTAGAAAATTAATCTTTAAAAAATTAAAATCAGTCAAACTAATAGGCTCTAAATGGAAAAAATATTTTTATGTAGTTTAATATATTTTTAAATTTCTTCCTCTTTTCTGTCACTCTGACTTTTTCTCAATTGACAGATGTATAATTGAAATACAATCTATGAAGTATTTTTGTTGTTTGTCTTTCCTTTAAAACAGATAAGCCTAGAATTTCTTTATTTTCTTTTTTAAATATTCAAATTAAGTGTCTTTTACTTCCTCTGGTTCATGATTGATTTTTGAGGTTGGGGTGACCCCAGGATACAAAATTTTCTCACCTCTCATGAATGAGGATACACAAGAGAACTTTGAAAAGTTTACAGAAAATGGAATTAAAGTACAAGTTTATTTTAGTGCAAAAAAATTGAAATCCATGCAGGTGTTTTATAATACACTTTTTCATGAAATTTCTGAAGCCTCCTCATAGTTATAGCTTCTAGTTAGATAGGCTTTAAACAAGCGTCATAATCCAGTTAGGCTGCTATAACAAAATACCTGAAACTGGGTAATTTACAAACACACAAATGCTCAGTTCTGTTACATTTGTAGTTCTGGAGGTTGAGAAGTCAAAGATTAACTGCCAACACATTCAATGTTCTGGAGAAGACTCATATTCTGCTTCATAGATAAGGCCTTATGGCATCTTCCCATAGCAGAAGGATGGGACAGCTCCTTTCAACCACTTTATAAGAGCAATAATCCCATTCATGAGGTCAGAGCTCGTATGCCTTAATCACTCCCCAGAGGCCTCACCTTTAAATACTACCACAATTGGGGAGTGGGGTTCAACATGAGTTCAGACCATAGCACCAAGGGCTTTCCTATCTGCTATCCAAATAAAAATTTCTCCCATTCAAGAGGAAGTTGGTAATACCAGACTTGCTACTCCAATTCTGGAGAATACAGAGATAGGAACTCAGTTGAAAAATGGATAGTACAGCCTACATAGAGGTCCTCTGTCTAAATTCCAAATACAGTCACATGGAGTAGAAGAAATACCATAGAACACTACTGTGAAACCACTAACTTTTCTTGACTCTATACTTTTTATTTATTAATCTTAATTTTATTTATTTATTTATTTTTAATTTGGCCAGAGAGAGACAGAATGAGAGAGAGAGACAGAAAGCCAGAAAGCAAGCCTCTAGGTCCAGGACTCAAACTACAGTCAGCCATATGGGGGTCCAGCGCCCTTAACCACCACACCACCTGCCGGCCCCAACTCTATATATACTTTCTATATGCTTTCCCAAAACAGCACGATCATTCACAGAAGTCAACAAAATCCAAATGATAACATAACACTGAACTATCATAATAATTATCTTAATATTTAGTACTTACCAAACAAATATCTAACATTTCTATGCTGAGCACATTGTCTGAATTATTTCATTTGCTAATTTAATTTAATCAGGCAGATACACCTACTGAGTCATCAGAAAAGTCATGACGTGTTTTTACATGCAAAAATGCATCATAACTTTTCTGACAACCCAGTATTATTCTCCCATTTTGTAGATAGAATGCAACTTTAAGAGGTTATATAACCTGTCCAAGATTCAATTATACTGCCTTCCGACAAAATCCCAGAGATGAGAATTACACAAAGCCTCTAAAATCCATTTAATCACCTTATCCTGTTTCACCTTGCTCATGTGCAGCCCTGACTGTCTCTCTTATTATCACTCCTGAGAGACATGTTGCTGAAAATACAGAGGTGGTGGTTAAAATAACAATGTTAAGTCCTTGAAAACAACTATGAGTTAAAGTTAAAAGTTCCACTTTAATTGAAAGAGTCCCATTTCTCGTGTTACACCGCAGCTCTTTGAATCTTGAAGCTGGAAGAGAGCTAGGTAAGCATCCCACATGACTTCTCATGTTATTTCTCCCATAAAAGACACAGAGACATAAAGAAAGACAAGCACTCCCAATAGGGTCTTCATGTCACAATTCACCCCTAGTCTCAGCCAGCCCAGACCATGGCATGCACATACATATCCAGCATACTCAGGGATAGCTTGAGATGCAAACTCAGGACCTTTCTTATGTGGGTCCAGTTGCATAATTACTGGGCCACTACCTGGCCCCCACCCCTCATTAAAGAAGAACTAAGTTCCAACAATTGTGAGCAACTTGCCCTAGGTCACTCTGTTGAAGACAGAAGTGGACTTGGACCCCATGATTCCTGACCCTCAGTTCTGTAGTCTCTCATTTCATCGCAGTACCTTTTGTCTTTGCATGAATTACTTTAAAGATAAAAACTTCTAAATACAAAAAAACAACAAACGGTACCATCCAACTCATTTTTTTTGCATTAATAGCAGTGTTTTGGTTCAAGAATCATTTAATATAAATCAGAAAAAGAGACCATTATGTCACTGCTGCCTTATAATGTGATAACTATGGTTCCCTTGGACTATGTTTCTGAAGGTAATGGAAGCGAATTTTTAAATGGAAAGTTTAACCTTAGCAATTTATTGCTCTGCTTTTTCCATCTATTCTGCATCATAAGATTATTCACAAGGCACTTTTATCACTGAAGAAATTTTGCACTAGGACGTGTTCTGAGTGGAGCTGATATCTCTGCAATTTCTTCTCCAGGAACCCTCTCTCTGACATAACGATGGCCTAACTGTTCATCTGTCTCTCCATCCAGCATGGCACCACACTCCTCATGGTCGCCTCCTACGCTGGTCACATAGACTGTGTGAAGGAACTGGTTCTGCAAGGAGCAGACATCAATCTCCAGAGGGAGGTAAGTTAAGCTTTGCCCTTGGTTAAAAATGACCAGGCTAAGAGATCTGAACTTTTCCTCATAGTGAACTGGTAAGGACAGAAGCCATCATTGCTTTCCTTCTACATCAGTTCAGATTGCAAAGTTTATTGTGCCTCAAATAAGGTCCAGGAATGGACCATCAGCTAGACTGTAGTTGAGCATATCTTGTCACATACATCTAAAATAACAGCTTCAATTGGTTCTTCCTTCTTCCCATTGGATACAATGCTATAGAATTTATAGAAATTTCAAAGAGATTTTTAGAAGAGTTGAGTCACCAACCTTTTTGTATTGAAATTCATTTGCTAGAACATCTCTGTCATCCTCACCAAACCATGTTTTCTTTTTTTTTTAAGAATTATTTTATTTAACTTTATTTATTTATTTGTTTATTTTATTTATATTTGACCAGAGAGGGACAGAGTAAGAGAGAGGGAAAGTGAGAAAGCAAGCCACCAAGTATGGGACTCAAACCATGGTTAGCCATGTGGGAGTCCAGTGCCCTTAACCACCAGGCCACCTGCCAACCTCTCTGTATTTTTTTTTTTTTGAGAGGTTTTTGCTATAGGGTGCGTGCACTTGCCAGACAGAGAGAGAGAGACAGAGAGCCAAAAAGCGAGAGAGAGAGAGAGACAGAGAGCCAGAAAGCGAGAAATCGCCCCCCCGCCCCAGAAGGAATGGCCACACTGTAATCCCTTCTCCTCCATTTTCCTCCCAAATCATGTTTTCAAAAGACTTCTTTGACTGGTCATGTGTGAAATAAGTTCTTAAAAAGTTATTTAAGAGACCAGCAGTTAGCGTAATGGCTATGTTGCTGGACTCCCACGTAGTCGACCGCGGTTCGAGTCCCGGACCCGGTGGCTTAAACTCACACCGGGCGCGTGTGCGTGCATGCCCAAGATCCCGAGAGGAGAATGGAGGAGAAGGGATTGCGGCGTGGCCATCCCCCCTGGGGGGTGATTTCCTGCTTTCTATCTCTCTGTCTCTCTCTGTCTGTCTGGCGAGCCCACACGCCCTATAGCAAAAACCTCTCCAAAAAAAAAAAAAGTTCTTTAAAAAGCCATGTGAGTGAATATTGTACTAAAATGTGACCCTGTTTCCACGCTGTATTCAATTGCAATTTCAGTTTGGTCTCATCAGAGAATCCATTCTTGGTCCAATCTAGAAAAGCAATGGAAAGCCCCCAGCATTGTAACATTCTTTGGGGTTTAGGTCTGAGAAGGGTCCATATATTTCTGAGCCAACACAGGGTCTGGTAAACTAACCTTTAATGGAAACATATGCTCAGGTCATCCCTTGAGTGATCCTGACCTCTCAGTTCATACTGACTCAGACCTGAGATGGACATCCCAGACAAACTCCAAACCAGACTGGAGTTTTTAGTTTTCCTTGATCCTCCGGCCTATCTGCAACTTTATTCTTGGGCCTACTCTGCAGCTGTAGTTTCAGAAAGGAAGATTCATCAACCAACCTTTTATCAAGCCAATCCCATTCTTCCAGGCTGAGATGATACCCCTGAGTAAAGCAAATGAAGACATACGAGGCCTGAGGGCTGTGTTCCAAAGAATATGCCCAAGTCCCTCCCATTACCTCTCTGGGTGCTAGAGGCTTTGGCTATGGACCATGAGTAACACTCAACTGACAGAATCTGGGGTCTAGTTCCTGAAGCCTTGGACCAGCAAGCCTGGTCTATTGAAAGGATCAGCAGTATGGAGAGGCTACAGCAAAGTCAATCAATCTTACAAACAGATTCTCTTGAGCAATTTTCATAACACTAGAGCATTGTTTTAGGGCATTTTCACTTTGGCACTTAATTTCCCTCTGGGATGAAAATGTCTGGACCCATTTAGAACTATAGTACCCTAGTCTTTTTTATTTTTCCTTTCTGTTTTACAGTGCTTGTTTACTATAACTTTTTTTTAAAGGACAGATTTTCTCTAATAGAAATAATGTGATCCAGATTTGCCTACCCAAAAACTTTATCCTGAAGGGCAAGTTTCAATGTGCACAAAATTCTCTTTAAAACAATGGAGAGAAACAGAAAGGAGAGAAACATTTTATTTCTAGACAATGTGTCGTTTTATATTTATTTGTTCCTTTGGTTCCAATTGCTCAAGTAATCTTGGAGGTGGAAACTCTTGGGCACTAAGAAACGGAGGCCCTTGGGACCAGCAGTTGGCATAGTGGCTATGTCGCTGGACTCCCATGTAGAACACCGCAGTCCGGATCCCACATCTGGTGGCTTAAACTCATGCTGGGCGCATGTGCGTGCATGCCCAAGATCCTGAGAGGAGAATGGAGAAGGGATTGCGGCATGGCCATCCCCTCTGGGGGGTGATTTCTCACTTTCTGTCTCTCTGAATCTCTGTCTTTTTTGTTTGTTTGTTTGTTTGTTTGTTTGTTTGGAGAGATTTTTGCTACAGGGCGCATAAGCTTGCCAGAAAGACAGAGAGAGATAGAGAGACAGAAAGTGAGAAATCATCCCCAGGGGTGATGGCTATGCCACAATCCCTTCTCCTCCATTCTCCTCTGGATTCTGGGCATGCACGCACACGTGCCCAGCGTGAGTTTAAGCCACTGGGTCCTGGACTTGAACTGCGATCGACTACATGAGAGTTCAGCGACATAGTCATTATGCTAACTGCTGGTCCCTCTGCCTCTCTCCATCTTTCTGGCGAGCACACGCACCCTATAGCAAAAACCTCTCCAAAACAAAGAAACAAAACAGTGGCCCTTGAGGACTTACCCAAGTATATTTAGTTTAGAAGTAACTTGTGTGATTGAAGCAATGAAGTTCATGGCTGTCCTCTGAATTTCCAGATACCCTGCCAATCTGGGACTGCAGAACTACCACACTACAGGGAAACCCCAACCTCACTTACATGTTTTGGAGCTTTGGAAATGACTCACAGTTCCAAGTAGACTTCTACCTTGGTCCATTATTAATCCATTTTACAAAATTAAAATATTGGTTTCCTGAAAAAAGTACCTGCCATTGTTTTCATAGGTTGCTTATCGAGATACACAGAACTTGCTAGAAAGACAAACTGCCTCTGTGGTCATAGTCACATTGCCTTTTCTCTGTGTCAGACAGCTCTCTGCATCACTTTTTTTTTATTATCATTTTACTATAGTAAAATACATATAACATTTACTGTCTTACCCATTTTAAAGTGTACAAGTTGGGTGGTAATAAATACATTCATAATGTTGTATAATTACTATGGTCATCCATCTCTATAACTCTTTTCATCTTATAAGTCTGAAACTCTGTACCCTTTAAACAATAACTCCACATTTCTTTCTCTCTCAGCCCCTGACAACTGTCATCCTACGTTCTGGTTCTATGAATTTGACTACTTGAGCTACCACAGTAGAATAATTCAGTATGTAGGACTGGTTTATTTCACTTAGCCTAATGTCTTTAGTAGTCATCCATGTGGTAGCATATGTCAGATTGCCTTCTTTTTTAAGCTAAATAACATTTAATTGTATGAATATGCCACATTTATCCTATCCATTCAGTGGACACTTCTATTGTTTCTGCATTTCAACTATTAGGAACAATGCCTGTGCCTCGCTCTTAGTAAGGACACTTGTCATTGGATCCAGGGCCCACCCAGATAACAGAGGATAAGCTCTTCCTCTCAAAATGTTTAGATTGATCACATCTTTTGCCACGTAAGGTAATAGTCACAAGTTTCCAGAATTAGAATGGAGACATATCTTTTAGAGAACTGCTCTTCATCCCACTACACCAAGAGTGAAGTTTTCTTTTCACCTTGTCACTTCTCTGACCAAGGAATAGAATTAGTTCAAATGCAGTCCCACTCTAGGCTACAAGGTTTATATGCAAGGTTATTGTTCTGTTTTCTTCACGAATGTATGAACTAAATGTAATGTAGGCAAATGTCTGTTAAAGCCAGCCTTTCTCTCTCCCAGTCAGGTACAACTGCCCTGTTCTTTGCTGCCCAGCAAGGCCATAATGATGTCGTGAGATTTCTCTTTGGATTTGGAGCATCCACTGAATTTAGGACCAAAGTAAGAAAACCTTCATGATTTAAAAACCTGCTGAGTAATTTCAGCAGTCATGGATATTAATTTTCTGCTTAACTATGGTACAAGTTTGTGCTTCCCTTTTTACAAGATTCTGAAGCCTAAGAAAGTGGATTTCACACGTTTACTATCAATAGTAATGCATCATGGGCAATCCTAAGGATTCTATTCAAAAGATTACATTTTTACTCTAGACTCACAACTGCAGACTTTATTTTTTCTAGAGGATTTTACCATAGGGCAGATGCACTCGCCAGAGAGAGACAGAGACAAAGACAATGAGAGGGAAAGTGAGAAGTCATCCCCCAGGTAGGATGGCCATGCCACAATCCCTTCTCCTCCTGGAATCTTGGACATGCACACACACATGTCTGGTGTGATTTTTCAAGCCACCAGGTCCAGGATTCAAAATTTAGTTAGCCACATAACCACTACACCATGTGCTGTCCCCACACAACTGGTGAATTTTATGGGGAATGACTTAAACTCTTTCTTGCATGGGCAGCTTTCTACTCTGGGTCACTAAATTTTGTAACCAGGAGGGATATCATAGCAGGTGACTTTCTTGAGGTTCTTGTTTCCATGTACCTTTATTTTTATTTTATGATTAATCTCAATATTGTGAGGGGACTTCAAAATGTTCGTGGAAATTGGAGTTCATTTGGGCATAAAATATTTTGAAATACATGCCTAGTTTTTTAGAAAATATATTTTACATCAACTTTTTAAAGATACTTTATATAATAAGAATTTTGGGAAATATTAAGATGACACTAATAAATCTGAGAAATTCCTAAGAGGGCACTTTGGCCTTCTTAATTTCATGAGTTATTCTCTCTGAAATATAATATTGGGCTGTCAGAAAAGTCATGACACATTTTTGCATAGAAAAACAGAAAATACATCATGACTTTTTCTGATGACCCAATGCGTAATACATAATTATAGCTTATATTGTTGGGCAAGAAGCTATGATTCTTCCTTTTAAGAAGTTGTTGATTTTCATTTTTGACATATAGGTATGAAAACTGAGACCACCAAAAAGATCAATTTTGTGTCCACAATATGATTTTATATGATAATGTTTTGTAGTAGTAGAATTTAAGTTGCCATAAGATATTTGTAATTGTCAGTTCATTTCTGGACTAATCATACTAAAAAATTGGCTCAAGTTGGAAATTCTTGGATTTTTCTTAATTCACTGCATGTGACATTTATATATCAAGGGAATTTCCAGTAGGTTTTTTTTCTATTAAAAGCCTAACTTTAAAAAAAAAATTTTGCCAGCGGGTGCATGTGTTCAGCAAGAGAGACAGAGAGACACTGAGAGAGGGAAATAGAGAAAGAACCCCCCATTCACACTCATGGGAAATGGTCTTGCCACAATCCTGTTTCTCCATCTCATTACCCTTTCAGGATTTTGGGCATGCCTGCACTTAGCCTGGTGAGTTTGTCAAGCCACCAGGTATAGGACTCGAACAGTGCAGTTGGCCACATGGGATCTAGAGCCCTTAATCACCAGGCAGCAGGCTGACCCCAAATGTCAGCTATCAGTAGGTCTGAATTTCAGGTAGGTTTTCTGTCTTTTCTAAAGCCTGCTATCAGATGTGAGCATGCCTTAGTATGTTTAGAAAAACATACTAAGTATAATGCAATCAGATTTTGGTATCCATGGGTTCCATATCTGTGGATTTAACCATCTGCAGATAAAAAATATTTAAAACCAACAAAAAAACCCCACAGATATAAACATAATACAGTATAACAACTATTTATAAAACATTGATATCGTTGTAGGTATTATAAGTAACCTAGAGATGATTCAAAGTATATAGGAGGATGTGCACAGGTGATATGCAGTCACTATGCCATTTTCTATAAAGGACTTGAGCATTTATGGGGTTTAGTATCTGAAGGAGGTCCTGGATCCAATCCCATGAAAATACCAAGGGATGATTATATATAGTAATACAAAATGCAACAAATGTATATATATATTTTTTATGGTTATCATTTTATTTTTTATTATAAAAGTGATACAACTATAAATAAAAGGTAAAGCTCTGTGAACCTAAATCTGTATCTGTGAACTAAATAAAAATGATCATGTGTGGCCACATGGCTGCTTCAGTCTTCTTGGTTAACAAGTTAATACTGGCTTACAGGCTTTGAACATGAGCCAGTTCCCAGAAATCCATGGAACATGAGGCCCAGGGAGAGCAATTCCACTTATTTCCATTAGGTCAACTCCAGATGTCTCAGAGCTTTCCATGGGAAAGAAAATGCCAGGTGGCTTTGAGTTTTTATATGATTCTGTCATCAAAACTGTGTCGGGAACCAGCAGTTAGCATAATGGCTATGTTGCTGGACTCCCACGTAGTCGACCGTGGTTCACGTCCCGGACCCGGTGGCTTAAAACATACAGGGAATGTGTGCGTGCATGCCCAGGATCCCGAGAGGAGAATGGAGGAGAAGGGATTGCGGCGTGACCATCCTCCCTGGAGGGTGATTTCTCGCTTTCTGTCTCTATGTCTCTCCCTGTCTGTCTGGCGAGCACACGTACCCTATAGTAAAAACCTCTCAAAAAAAAAAGAAAAAAAAACCAAACCTGTGTCAACCATTGTTCTTATCAAATCTATACACTTTAAAATGTGTCTCTAAAAGAAAAAATATCAGTTCTTCTGTGAGAATCATCATCTTTTATCCATCTGTTACCTAATTAGGCAAAGAGCTCGGGAAGTTGACAGAACAAAGCTTAGAAACAGGTGCTCATTGCTGCTATCAAGACTTTTTTTAGGAGAGTTTGTTTTTGTTTTTGTTTTTACTATAAGGCACATGCACTCACCAGAGACACACAGAAGGAATATAGGAGTCTAGCATCCCAACCATTACACCACCTGCTGACCCCTATCAAGACATTTTTTAATGTACCTCCTGCCCTGCGCCCACACCTCCACCACCATCCTCAGCCTCCAGTTCCTTTCCCACTCAAGCACCATCCCTCACCACATGGTCCATCCTTCATTGAATCCCTTCCCAGCCGTGCTAGTTCCTCAGGAAATCTATGAGCACACCTTTTCTTCGAAGTTC